AACTCTATCTCAGCTGAAACCAGGACAATATCACTACTTAATTGTATTTTGAAGTTGTTCCGCAATCTCCATCGTTTCGTTACCTTTGCATAGTTCACTTAGCATATTCTCTTGTTTTCATAGCTGCTAAAGCTGCAGTGCCTGCAATGGTAACACTGAAGTGGACAAAACAGTAATAATTTTATAAAATAGTTTAAAAAAATATCTTTTAAACCCCAAAACTATGCTGGTTTTTATGCTCTACTTGAATTTGTGAATGACTAAATATTTAAATATGTGTTTGTCTTGGCTATACCACCCATACGTTACATACTTATTTTGCTAACTTTCTTCTAACTCTGTTAACAATTTATGATTTGGTGTAGTGAGTAAATGTTGAAGATAAACTCTGCATATAATTTTAGGCAAGAAAGATGACAATAAATTATGTTGTAAGATTGAAAAAATGAGGCTAGCAGTCTAGGAAGGGAAGCATGAGAAATGCTGGTCTGAGATCAAGTGGGATGTATGTGATTGTCACACTTATTTACTGTAGTACATGGGAAGTATATTTGGTCATCTTTACTCTGAAGAATTTAATTAAAAGAACAAAACTGGTGAAATCACGAATAAACAAAGAATCTTAAGAGTAGAAGGAACTGGAGTGAGTTCAAAAGGAGCAAAGGGGAGTTAAGCCATTGCAGTATGCAGTAAAGAAAAGTCAGAGAGTGGAAGAGGACCCCATGGCAAGGTAAATCTCGGAGGCAAAAGGAGATGTATTGTGTTATTGTTTCAAAGGAAGTAAAAATTCAAGAGACTGGAATACAGATATTAAAAATAAAAGCTTTTCAAAATTAAAGAGAATTTTCCTGGTAGTTTAATATTCAATCACCAAGTTGTTCTAGGTGGCAAAAGTATTATGTAGCAATTATATAATGCATCAGTAAACTAAGTTTGAAAATAAATATGGGTGTGGCTTATGTTTTATTAAATATGAGCATCTGAGGCTTGTTCAGCACTTAGCTAGCTAAAGGTTCGGCCAAGGAGATGTCAGTTAGGAGTGTGTAAGGCAGTGAAACAGATGATAGAGAAGTGTGGGAAATTACAGACAAGTATTGAAATACAGCAATTCTGAAATGCTTCCAAAATAATTTTTTTAAGAGTAAGGGCGGGGGAGAAACCGATGAGTGCAGAAGAGCTTTTCCTTGGGGGAATGCATCCTGTTAGTTGCAAAAGCTGTGTACCCTCAGTTCTAAGAGTAGCACAGAAGCTGACAAAACTCAAGTAGGAAATGGTGAACTACTCTCAGAATTAACTGAATTCTAACTATCTCTTTCTGCTACCCAGTTTAGTATATTAGTGCTTCTGCGTAGACTCTGGAAGCATAACTTAGAAAATGGGGGAACTAGGATACTTTAAATGAAAACATTAAAAACAGATGAGACAGTTGGTGGAGGGTAGCTAGTTAATACAGCACCAATACCAGGAAGCAAAGTATATAGAAAGCATGCAATGGGAGGGGTGGTGCTGTATGTCAAAAAGTGTTCCAGGGCTGAAAAAGAAGAAACGCAGGATTAAGACTGTACCACTAACCTCCTAATTAGGATGGCAACAGTGAACTTAATAGGAGATTGGTTGCTAATTCAGTTAGCAAAATAGTAAGGGGAAAATAGATCAGTGCTGGTTACAGAAGTAACACACCGGAACGCACAGAAAGAAATTCTAGGCAGCATGAATGAAGTTTTCACGGAGCAGATAGAGGGGGAACCTTCGCAGGGAGAAGCAAGTCTGAACTTGTGCAGTGCTATTCAAAATGCTGTTATTGAAAAGCTGTTCTGCACCTCTGCCAATAATGTACGTGGATTCTAGCACTGCAAAAGTGGTAGCAGGACGTCTGCTGCTGAGGAATTTAAGTTGAAGAGATGAGATAAGTTAAAAGGAACTTGGGAAGGACAGCTGAAAGGCAAGGTGAAAAAACAGCTTCTCATACAGCTGCAGCATAGTAATATATATACACATCATGGGCTATTTAAACCTTATAAAGACTTTCCTCCACACGCTGAAAGCTCTGTTGCCATTACCAAGAAGACTTTTGCTCTTACTGCTAGGTATTGTTTCATTTCCAAGTTTATGACCCCCTTTAGGCTGTGCCCTGTTTCACAGCTGGATTTCTGTCAGGTTCACAACTTACTTTGTCATTGCTGATTCTGTGAACTGCACGTGCTGACTTAGCTTTTACTCTGTATGTTTTAGACTTTCTACTATAAAAGCTACCAAAAAGATTGAGTTGGAAAACTTAAAGTTGTCAGCATACGGACAAAACTTTTCATCAAAGAAATGCTGTTTTGTCAAAGAGTCTTTCAGTATGGCTCATTTAATAATGGAAAGAAGTTTAATGAATAAATCTTTATAACTGTAGATATACCTGACACCTTTTCTTGTCTAAAAGAAGAAAGATTCAAGCATGACAGCTTTATTGTTTTTAATTGATATGGGTCATGTACTTATTCGCCTCTTCTTGGTTTTAGGCCTGAGGAGTTCATATGCTAGTCAACACAGTCAACTAGGACAAGAATTACGATCAACGGTATCTCCTGACTTGCACATCACCCCTATCTATGAAGGCAGAACTTACTACAGTCCAGTGTACCGCAGTCCGAATCATGGAACAGTTGAGCTCCACCAGGGATCCCAGTCGGCATTGTATCGAACGGGGTCAGGTGGGTAGAGGGCTTCCAAAGCTCTTCCGTCAACTGTGTCCCAAAGTCATGCTTCACTTACTGGAGTTTTGCTGGAACCTATGGCATATAGGAGAACATATGGGAGAGATGTGATGCCAGTTTAAAAGGAAAAACTAGATATTATAAATTGACAGAGATAGAAACTAGGTTTGAAGGACTTAAAATAACCAGCAGGAAATGATGCTTGCATGCAATACTTGGAGCTATATATCAGTGTCAGCTTAGGGTTAGAATATTTTCTGTTTGATATCACACACTCAGGTACATCCAAGCAAAGCGTATTTCATGACACAAAAAATTTATTGCTTCCCCTTACATTCTCTGTGCAGCATTCTCTTACAAATTGAGTTTGTTAATTTTTTTCTTTATTCATCAGTACAGTAAAATGATAGCTTGCACACTTAAATTACCTACCCCGTCTTTCACAGTAAAAATGCTGGGTTTACCCAACTTGTCAGCAAAGGATAATGTTAAAATACTATATCTGAAGATCATATATTGAAACTGAAATATTTCTATAGTGTTTCATAGAATTGCTACTCATATACTATGAAGTGCATAGACATTAAATTAGTATTTTCACAAATTCACAGATTCACAGATTGGTAGGGGTTGGAAGGGACCTCTAAGAGATCATCTAGTCCAACCCCCCTGCTAGAGCAGGATCACCCAGAGCAGGTTGCACAGGATGGTGTCCAGGCGGGTTTGGAATCTCTCCAGCAAAGGAGACTCCACAGCCTCTCTGGGCAGCCTGTCCCAGTGCTCTGTCACCCGCAGAGGGAAGAAGTTTTTCCTCATGTTCAGGTGGATCTTCCTGTGTTCCAGTTTGTGCCCGTTGCCCCTTGTCCTGTCACTGGGCACCACAGAGAACAATCTGGCCCCTTCCTCTAGACACCCACCCTTTAGATATTGATAAGCATTGATCAGATCCCCTCTCAGTCTTCTCCAGGCTAAAGAGACCCAGCTCTCTCAGCATTTCCTCATACGAGAGATGCTCCAGTCCCCTCATCCTGTTCATAGGCCTGTAAAGAGAAATGTAACACATGTTGTAGAGCAGTTTGTTCTTTGAGGTTGATTAATGATTTGTATAGTGGAGTAATTTCCATAAACTCTCAAAATATTAGTGTTATTTAACTTAGTAACTCTCTAGAAATATTTATAGAGAAGTATCCAATTTATATGTCATGTTTTCACACATTTGAACATTGCTTTTTAATTTTTTTTAATGTAACTGAAATACTAAGAGTATGGAATGTTGAAGGAGGCAACATTTTTTGCAATTCTCCTGTCTTCTACAACCTAGAGTAAACAAATAAAGTTCATCAGGATGTGTCATTGAGGAAATATAACTAGAAATTGGAACTCTCTGTTTACTTGTCTACCTCATATCGCTTAACTTGGAAGAACAAAAGCTACCACAATGGCTCTGTTAAGATACATATTCCTGTTTCTGAAACGATCAGCTTAATCCTTGAATTCATCCTCTTGTTAGCTTTTTGTCAGGGAAAATGTACGTGTAGTTGGGAGAAGGAAAATATCATATAAACTATAAACACTTTATTTTTCCTTATTAGTACTGTTGGCAAATTGATGTTGCTGTTAGTAATTTAATTTTATTATAAACCTTGAAAACATTTTGCATCCTGATTTCTGCTCAATAGCACAAGATGCGTTTCTTACGTTAAATACGCGTTGAGGCAAGCTGAGGCATAAGCCTGATTCTGCCAGACCTTTAGTTCTGTAACTAACCTCTCTATCTTCCCTGGGACATTGAGTAATTGCTCCCTTAAATCTGGCGACAGCTTTCAACATTGAGCACTGTACACCTTTTCAAAACTGATTTTTATTTTTTTTCTTACACTTCTAACCAAGTATTGCCTCTTCTTTTCAATAGCCATTTGTTACCCAGTTTGTTTTAACACTGGTTTTATACTAGGAGTCGGAAATCTGCAAAGATCATCCAGTCAGCGTAGCACACTCACATACCAAAGAAATAATTATGCTCTGAACACAACAGCTACCTATGCGGAACCCTACAGGTCAATGCAGTATCGACTGTCAGAGTCCGGTTATAACAGGCTGCAGCACGCAACACCCGCCGATGATGGGACCACACGATCTCCATCCATAGACAGCATTCAGAAAGACCCCAGGCAAGTCCGTTTATGCTTTCAAGAATCATACGTATTCGTTGTAATAAGATTTTTAATGCATTCCCTGAATAGATATGGCACTTCCTGCATATTCCAGTTTTGCATTGTTCAAGCGATCATGACTAATTTAGATATTAAGATCTATAACTTTATAGCCAAAGTAATAAATGCAGTCTGCTAGTTACAGTAAGAAAGAGCAACTTTTATGCATTTATTAGTTATTACATTTTTTTCCATGTTTATTTTCATGTAGAAGTTATTACAGGAAATACTTATAAATTTGATGAGAATTGATTGGATTATTCAAAATATTTTTGAGTAACTCTACAGAGCAACCTGTAATACTGTAGTAAGATTTCTCTTTATGGGAATGGGAATCAGGATTTGAAACTTACGAAGTACATACGTTATTTATTTGAATGAATTTTTCATGAGCAGCTTGCTTAAATTTCAAAACAATGTAAGTTTTAAAAATGATACATAAATGTACCATTTTGAAAGTGAATACACCTTCATATTTTTAAAATAGTTACTAGATTTATGTTGTAAATGTATGTACACAGTGTGGGCATGTGACAAGTGTAATATCATCATTACAGTTTATTAGCAACACTATTGATTAAACCCTTGTATTTTAAAATGGGAGTATCAAAACCCAGTCCATGCAAAGCTTGGAGGGATTTATGGTACTGTTTATCTTCAGTGTGGGGATGTGATTGCTAGAGAGTCCAGTCCATCCTCAGATTGCCAGCATCTTCTGAATGCTCCTTGGTCGTGAAAGCATATTGCACGTGCTGCAGGTTTAGAGACCAGATGAATTTTATTTAACTGAATGGTACATTCATCTAAATTATGTTAATAGGAGAATCTTACCTCTAAGTAGTAACGCTTGCTAGCTGCATGCTACTCATGGCCTGTTCTGGGATGGCTTACAAGAAACGTTACTTAAAACAGGGATGCTTCACATTCATAACAAGAAACTTTAAAGAAATTCTGACTCAGTTTTCGTTGTTGATGCATCTTCTTATCTTGTAATTTCACAGTGGAATAGTTTTTACCTTACATTTTAACCTGTTTCAGTTTCTGATTTGCATATAATGCTATTGCAGAGGTTAGGTTAGTGCGTTACAATAGCCTCAGACTGGGCTACTTTAAAGCATCGCTCTAGAATAAGAGTGAGGGAGCATTCAGAAAGCTACTAGTTTTATTAGAAAGGTAGCTTTCCCTAAGGTCTTCCTATCATTAGTATGGAGAAATAATCCTCTAAGTAGTTGAGCTGTTCAAAGCAGGCACATAACTGAACTTTCCCTTTTTGGTGACTGTAGGAATCCCAAGGAGTCCTGACTGGCCAGGCTAGCATTAGCCTTTGAATAGCTCCCCAAGTACTATTCTTGGAGCGTTGTTTGTTGTTTTTTTTTTTTTAATTATTTGGAGTTTTGAGCATGGGAAAACTTAGATACTACTTTCTTCGCCCCCCCCCGCCAACTATACAGAAGGACTATAGCCCAGCAAATATTAATGGCTATATTTCTAAATCTGTGAATTGGGCATGCATATGTTTAATGACTCTTCCAGGATTTGTCTGTGCAAAATAATTTTGTTTAATGAAGGAGATTTGATTTTAATGATTTTAAGTTTATAGTCCCCGAATAACTCAAATTATGCACACTTCCTGCATCTGATCATGATGATGACATTTCAGGCTGTGCAGCTTTTGTTGAAGTATAATGGAGCACTGAGGAAAAAAAGGTGTGGAAGAGATGCACCTGAGCAGCATTGTTAAGTTGATATCTGTTGCATTATATATTTAAGTTTTTGGAGATGTATATAGGTTGCAGTGTTTGAGTTGGTGTAATTTTAGTATATATACATATTTGTGTGATCAACAACCAGGCTAACTGAAGAACATAGGATATAAAGCATCCTTTTCCAATGGAAGACTAAAAGGTGATGTGACTCATAGTTACTCTAATATACCTGGTTTTCTTCCTAGCCCTGATGCTCCAGAACAAAACCAAAATTGTTGAAAAACACTTAAGATGCTTTACTTGTTCTACTTAGTAAATAAACCTACATTTATAACTAATGCCTTCTCTTGAATGTGTTCATCTAACGAAGGGAGTTCGCTTGGCGAGATCCGGAACTGCCTGAAGTCATTCACATGCTTCAACACCAATTCCCGTCGGTCCAGGCGAATGCAGCTGCCTACCTTCAGCACCTGTGCTTCGGGGATAACAAAGTAAAAATGGAGGTACTGTGCCGAGTGCATTTCTGTTCCTGGGGAAACTAGAAGAGAAAAACTAGACCTCTTGCTGCTTTTGGGATTTTTTTTTTTGTCATAACACAGTATTTTGGACCCTTTTGTTTTTCTTTTTGTACCAGATGTATGATAATATTGAAGTACCTAGGTGTGTGTAATTATACACACATGCACGCATATATTTTTTCCTGTCATAAGAGGTTGCATGGAAATTATATGAAAATATTTCACATTCAAGTTGTATAATCTGGCAGAACTGTAAAGTATGTTTACCAGAGCCTGTTTTTGTGTAACCTGTTGATGACTGGAGACTAGGAAAGACAAGAATTTTGGAAGGCTTTACGCTGGTTTTGATCAAGATATGTTAAGGCATCGTAGCGAACGAGTGAGCTGTCAAGCAAAGGAAAAAAATCTAACGCTAGAAATACATAGAGGATAGTATTTATGTCAATATGATGTGGAGGAAGGATACATCTGAGTGAAAATTCAGATTATTGTTGAAAATTTCTAGAAATTGCATTTGAAGAGCTGCTCTTTTTGCAGAGTAGCTATGAGCTATTGATCTGAAGGAACTTGCTTTTTCATTCATATAATATATATGTGATCTGTTATTTTCAGTATAAATATTATTTATGTTAATAAAAACTTGGTGCAACTTTTATAAGAAGATAGCCCAACATAATTCACTGTTGCTGGAAGGTGGATGAAAGGATGGTGCTGGTTTTGATCTTCTGGTAAAGATCACAGTGATACTTGGATGTAGATAGATTTGTAGGTATTCTTGCTGTTTTATAAGGGATATGGCAGCTTACTTAGGAATTCTTGGGATATTATTTGTTTGCATGTGTTCATCTGTAGGGGATCTTGTGTTTCTTCACTGTTTTCATTTTCATTATGAGGGAACTGGGGTTGTTTGGTCTGGAGAAAAGGAGGCTGAGGGGAGACCTGATCACTCTCTACAACTCCCTGGAAGGAGGTTGTAGCCAGGTGGGGGTTGGTCTCTTCTCCCAAGTAACAAGCGATAGGACAAGAGGAAATGGCCTGAAGTTGTGCCAGGAGAGGTTTAGATTGGAGATTAGGAACAGTTTCTTCACCAGAAGGGTTATCAGTCATTGGAACAGGCTGCCCAGGGAAGTGGTGGAGTCACCATCCCTGGAGGTGTTTAAAGGATGTGTAGATGTGGTGCTCAGGGACATGGTTTAGTGGTGGGCTGGGCAGTGTTAGGTTAACAGTTGGACTTGATCTAAAAGGTCTTTTCCTACCTAAACAATTATATGATTCTATATAATCAAGCTCGTAAAACCTTATCCAAGGAAAAAGATCTTTTTGATTTAGAAGACAAGTTACAGTAGTCAGAGACAACTGTAAATGTTGCCTGCCTTCCATTTAGTGTGGGAATTTTGGAAGAGAAAATTTCTCCTTTTCAAACAGAGGAGATCTGTGTACTGGCACAGTTATTTCTTTTGCATGGGAATAATCAGCTGTTAGAAATTCTTTGAACGCTGTGGCAGATAGAATGCAATTGCTTGACTTCTAGAAGAAAAGCATATTCCTGCGCTTTTGGGAAAGCAGCCTTACGTCAGTGTTTCCTGATGAAGCTTTCAGTCTCTTACGAAGCAGCTGTCCCTTGAGTTGGGATGGTGGGTAGGGATCAGCATGTTTTGAAAACATGATGGTATCTGTGGCAATAGGAAAGTTGCCATTCTTGTTCCCTTCAAAGCAGAGGTCAGCACAAGAAACTATCTGGAATAGGAAAGGATCATAACTATTTTAGTGCCAAATTCAGTAAAGCCTTATTTGAGGACTGCTTTTATATTTTATGTTTTTCAAAGTACGCCTTTAAAAGGATTTGGCTAAATCTCAGTTATGTTTTCATTGAGAATAATTTTATTATTCGTGTGTTATGGCCAATGAAAGACACTGACTTTTTTAAACCAAAAATCCATGAAAACTGGTACATATGAATGTATTTCAAATAGCCTTGCGGCTTGCCAAACTACTCATTATACAGGTTAGAATAGAAAAGGGGCCTCTAAAAGTGCTTTTAATGCTGAACTGGAGAATCCTTAGGACTGTTATGTTTTACATCTAGCTGTTTGGCCCAGAACCACATCCTGTGTAAGCGAAGTATTCAGGAATGATGGCGTGTATCTCTTTTCACCATGGGATCCCCTCCTTAGGGCAGCAGCAGTTTAGCTGCTGTAGCTGTGGGGTTTTTAAAGAGATCCAATACCAACTTCATTAGGCATGTTCTATGGATGGTATGCCACAAAAGTTATTGTCCTGTGCTAAAATAATACCGCGTTATAGTAGATCAATCTTACATTGCAAAATAGCTCATATTTTTTGAAACAGTTCATAGAAAGTATTTTGGTAGTCTTTTGGTGGTGATTTTTAATTTAAAATTAACATTAATCTTATAAGTAATACTATTTAGTTATATCTTTAAAGTATTTTTTATTTAGTAAATATTGCAGAATTATAAAATACTTTAATCTTTTATAATTTCTGTAGGTTATTTTGAACAAAGAAAAGGACTACGTGGAAATGAGAGCTCAAAACACAATGTTAAAGTTTTTAAAAAATATATAACAAAGAATAAATGCAACTAACCTGCTTTACAGCAAACAATATAAAAATTTCTTTTTGTTTTACAAAATTTCTGCAGAGTAGACCTTCCTTTTAAAAAGAACCTCAGATACGCCAGTAGGACTGGATGTATGCTAATTTAACTGATTTGTGTGCGTGTGTGTATGTGTAGCTAAGTGTAAAAGTTGGCATTTAAATATTTGCAAATTCTTATTTCTAATATTCCCCAAAAAGATATTCTGAGATACAGGAAATTGCTTTAAAAACTGCATTACAGGGAAACAAAACTTTAGCATTAACAGTTCTTCTCTGAACACAGCAAATATCTGAAAATGTCCATCAGCCTTTTCAACAAGGATGTGAGTGGTTCAGAGGAATTTTCAGTACAGTGTAACAACCAAGCTATTAATATTTACCAACAATATTTCTTCTTGAAGTGGAATGGCATGTACTGTTTTGGTAAAAATAAAAGCCTTTTAAATCTGTAGAGTGAAATGGGTGAAATTGATGGGTGCTGATGTTCCCGACATTCCATTTTCTAGGTATGTAGGCTAGGAGGAATCAAGCACCTGGTTGATCTCTTGGATCACAGAGCCCTGGAAGTTCAGAAGAATGCTTGCGGCGCACTGAGAAACCTTGTTTACGGAAAGTCTACTGATGAAAACAAAATAGCAATGAAGAATGTTGGAGGCATACCTGCCCTTTTGCGATTGTTGAGAAAATCTGTTGATGCTGAAATAAAAGAGCTTGTAACAGGTAAGTTTTGAATAGAAACAAGCGGGGAACTATAATACAGATTATTTTTCTGAAGTGGACAAGACTGGAATAACTGGTAATTGAGTATATTGACTGGATTTTAATTTTTTGTGAATAAAAAATCAAATATTTTGGTTACTGACAGTTGAAGTGTTACCGTAGAAGTGTAGATTCACTGGAGGAGTGAATCTTGAGGTAGTTGCACTAAAGTTCCACTGGTAGGATTCTCCTACGTACACGGCTATGTTTTGGATAGGTATTTCTTTATTGACCCCTAGCATTTGTTTCATTACAGCCTTTTTTTTATCATCTGCTGACTACAGTTTTAAATAAGATCTTGCAAAATTCCTAACATGGACCCAAACTATGTAAATGTGTGTTAAAGTAGAGACAGAAAATCGCAAGTATGCAAATTATGGAAGCATCTCAGCACCCATCCTGCTAATAGAGTCATGGCAAGTGACTCTGTACACATTCCCAGTCTCTTGAATATAAGATAGCAGATTTAGCTTGTAACTCATGAACCTACTTGGCACTTGGTGCAGACAGAAAATGCAGAAATAATAAATGATTTGCAGTTCTAATGCATGAAGGAACTCCATGTCCATTGAAACAAGGTGATCAGAACGATTTGTTGGGTACTGCATGCATCTGCTCTCTCTTTTTCTTAATATAGGAGTGATTTGTCCATGAAGATTTTAGGGGATTGAAAAATAGGAGAGCATAGCAAAAAAGCAGAGTTTTCACTTTCTTTAAACAATTCCTCTTTCAAGTTTTAGTAACTCCCTCATTTGATTTTGTTAAACTACAAAGCTTAACTGCTTAACTGCTAAGCAAAGCTGCACAACGGTGCTCAAGTTAGAAGTAGGAGAGGTGTCATACTGGACAGGAGCCTTTCCAAGCTATTTCCTTGTTTAGAAACGCTATGAAGTAGAGAGAGGACTCTGTACAGAAAGTATCCAAAGCATTGAAGTTTAAGTTCATATGCAGGCTATTTTCCTTAAATATTTTCCACATAAGCAAACGTTAAGATAACCTGCAGCTTTCATCTTCTCTCTAGGAGGATGCAGTTTTTTCCTTAAGAAGTTATGTAAATGGAATACTTAAAACTAGAATTACACATTAGCTGCCTTGTCTGCTCTACAAAATTCATGTTTTATGCATCTAAATTACTTGTGCTTTAAAGATGCTAGGGATGGTTCCTCAGAGAAAACCAACATCAAATTCTTAATTATAGAAGGTATTTAGTCACTGTTAAAATACCCACAACCCTACGCTGTTATCTTTCAAAAAAGCACATAATCTGTAAATAAAAAGATTTTTCAAATAAATACAGTATTTAATTTGAATTACAATTAAAGATGACTACTTCAGAAAAAGCGACTCTTACTTTTTAACACACACGCACACACATTTTTAATTTTTTAACCAGCTACAACAAAATGGAAAGTTTTGACCTTATTGTCTTCTGGTTGTCAGTGGCTTTGACTTGTTAGAGTTAGACCAGCACTGAATGCTTGAGAAGAATCCACAGCAGACTTTCAGAGCTTAGGGGTTTTTAAATGCTTTCTATAAATAGCAATATAAAGAAAAGAAGTGGAAAAGATCCAACGGTTATTTGTTTAATAATTAAAAAACTCCACCTGTCAGAGTTGTCAGAACTAAAACTAGCAAACCACACTGAGTTGACTATGTTCCCAGATTAAGATAATGTAAACACAGAGAAATTAGTATCAATCTACACTACTAGAAACACTTTGTCTGATTTCTAGTTTAAAAATCAGCACTATTCATTACTGCTGTAGTTTATTCATAATTTTTCATATAAAATGAATTTTCCAGTGTAACATTTCTTAATGAAGTACAATGCTTTTTCCTGAGGATGGTCTTTCTTCCTTACTAAATGAATGATACTTTCATTATTAGCAGTATCAATTGCCTTTTAAAGATAACAGGTATATTTGGTGTCATTACAAGTGAAATTCATCCAGTTTAATATGCAGTTAGATAGGTGAAAACTTCATTATGCCAGATAAGTGAAATTAGAATAACAAACATCTTGCAATCTGTGTAGATATTTTCTACATTAATTCATTTATATAAATTTTGTGAGGAATTATTTGGTCAAAAGCAATCTTTTAACCTCAGAAATTATTTGGGAATATGCCCTAAAGATTAACTATGATAAATTTGAAAAGCTAGCGTACTGGGGGAGGGTTTAATTTCACAAACGTGTTTTAGAGGAGTTAGAAAATGGTAGGAATACTGGGGTCTATATTTAATTAACAGTAACTGAAATGACAGGATTGAAATGCAGAGAGATAAGTGGAAACTAAATAGAAAGTTACATTAAAAAATACAGGAAGTGTAATTACAAAACTACAAGAATGTTTCAAGAGGGAAGCAAGTAATTTTTTAATGGTTATAGATTATTCAGAAAATAAAATGTGCTAAATCACTTTTCATAATCATTATATGAAAATCAAGGAATACCTTTTTTAAAAAAAAAAATCTTTAAAAGTTGACCTTTGGAATGCATTGGAGGAGGATAACTCTTCAGTGAGCTTTCTGCAGCTTCATTTTCTCCATCGCAGCTGACCCATGCCAGCCTTGCTGTCTTGTGCTCTGCAGTCAAAGAGCCCTAAGAAGAGAAACTACTCTTTTTTTTGGTAACTACAACGCATTCCCTTAGATTTCGGCACCAGGCTTTGTGGAGGCTACTGTTTTTCACGTTCCAGCACAGCTTCAGCACTCGGCAACAGAAGTATTGTTGGGGCCATCCTGCCTGTGTCCAAGAGCAGGTGACATGACGGAGGTGCACTGTTTTATGCTCTCTGGTTAAGTCAGCACAGCCTGGAATCAATCTGTGAATTTCAGGGTCTCGTGTGTTGGAAGACCTATACAGCAGAAAACTGTCATGAGGTAGAAATCAAAATATGCATGTCCTTGAACCCAAGTGCAGTTTCTAACAATTGAGTGTACTTTCAAGAGACCCTCAGAAACAGTCCTTTAATATGTAAAAATGTAGGAAACATTGGTGTACTCCACTACTGCCTGTTCTCCAGAGAAAGCGAGTCAGATGCCTACCTTAATAGAGTCATGTCTTGATTTTCATCAGATCTTCAGCAGCAGAGATGAGCCACAAACCATTCCCTGCCCAGAGAGGCCTGTGATCTGCTCATTTGAATGGTTGGGTTTCTGTTAGGATTCCTCCCTGAAGGGTCAAGCAAGTACCAGTGCTGACCCTGGGGGAGCGGTGAGTTTTTATAGCTGGAAGGAGGGGAGAATGAGCACAAATTCCAGCAACAATTAATCACTAGCTTAGCTGTATAGTAAAGCTCGGTCCTTAAAGGGGAAAGAGGTTGTTATTGATGGTCCTGGCAATTCCTCATAGTTTATTTCTTCAAATTAGTACTACCTCAGCCAGTTCCGTTTAGAAATGCTGTTCTCTGTCCAGCAGCACGATCTTTTGTATACACAGTGTCATCTTTGTGAGAGATGGCATTCTTGCAGCAGTTGACTCTGTGCATTGTCACTTGTGTATTTTTAGAAAAGGGACCCAGGGTTCTGCAGTTCCAGGCAACCTGAGGTAACTTTTGAGAAGGTACAGAAGTAGCTGTGAGTCCCACACAGTTTTGCAAACTAAGCACTCTGTGAAATGGATATAGTTTTCTTTCACAACTTTCATCTTACTATAATATTTACCTCAATTCTACTCTGTATACAATCCAAAGTACTTCGTGATTAACTGTGTAAGACCTGCAGAGGTAGCATAGATCATCCACGTCCAGCAGTGGACCTCCAAGCTGGTGCAGCTGCTGAAGAACTCTTAATAAACCTGCTGCCCATTTGGTTAGCACCACCTGATGTGAGCAGTGGTGGAATTCATTGCAGTAAACTCGTCTGGAGTCTTAAAAATCTCGATTGAAATGCCAAGATTCAAAACCAAAATAAAGCATTAAAAAAAGCGGCTGGATACAAAGGAGAAAAAAAGTTCTTTGCCATTGGTAATGCCAGGGCTCCATGAACAGTTGAGCCTCACAACACCCCGGAGTACAAAGCCATTCAGCAACAAATGAGCAAATCGTACTTTTCTCTTTCCCATCCATAAGTTTTATCTGCAGATTTTTCTTTTTCTCATTTTTCAACCCATGACTTAAGCTTGACTTTAGACAGCTAAAGTCTCCACTGTTGAGTGGAGACACAGACATAATTATGTATTGCTGTCCTGTAGAAAAGCAAATGCAGAGTTGATCTGATTTATGCTGGAATAGGAATTAACAGATTGCTGAGATTTACAAAGAACGGTAGCGTTGGGGACACAGCCTTTCCAAGCTCACATTTCAGTAGGTATGTGCTGTAAGAACACAGAGCTGTTCTTTTTCCTCTGTTACTACAATTGTTTATAGGACAAATCTTGACCCTTGCAGATCTAAATTAGCACACTATCTTCCATACATTACAGCACCAAGTGAGCCTATTGTCAGCTCACAGCTATTGTCAGGTCATGGGTTCCAGTAATACTCTCCTGAGCCCGGTATAGTAGTCTTGTGTGTAATCACAGATCCATCTGCCTACACATAGTTTGCTTGCATCCGTTCCACCCCAGAGCGTTATGTGCAGCAAGCAGCATGTAGAAACAGACTGTTACTATTCAGTGTTTTGAAAAAACAGTTCTTCATAAATAATTTCTCCCCAGTTGAAAGTAGCCTATGGAAAATTACAAAAATTCAGTTGATTTTTCAGTATTTCTGTGACCTATCTACATGCAGTAAGATTAGATTAAAAACAGTTGCAGTCACTAAATGCAATAACATTAAGTTTTGCCTTTATAGATTCCAAACTACCAGTTTTCACTAGATGTTGCAGTTCTGGATTTATTTTTTTTTTCTTTTCATTCTACTTCATATCACCTTGTCCAGATCGCATTTCCAGGACAAAATTTGATCCTTGCTGCCAAAGTCTTGAGGTCTTTTTTTGTTTCTACGTAATTTTTTGGT